ATTAAATACTAACACAGATTAAATACTAACACAGATTAAATACTAACACAGATTAAATACTAACACGGAGGAGCTGAGGTCATGATAGTAACTGTGTGGTTTTAATCCTGACAAACATCTTTTATTTTCTAGATTCACTGTGACCTTTGACCTTTCACCATTAAAAGCAGTTGATTCTTTAGATCAAGTGAAAACATGTGAAGAAATTCCCTCAACGTGTTCTTGAGACGTTACGTTCACAATAAAGAGACGGACGACCCGTCTGAGCCACCAGACATTTGACGTCCGATCTCAGGGATTTAACCGTGTGACGTCCTGTGTGTCCAGGCAGCGTTGTGAAGGTGCTGTGTCATCCAGGTGAACACGTCACCGTCACATGTCCGTACCACTATGAGGACGAGGCTGACGTCCCCCAGCTGTCGGTGCAGTGGAGGAGTCCGCACAATCAGCTGCTGTGTCACTACATCAAACACAAAACCTTCCAGAACTGCAGCCACGGCTACGCCATCATCTACACCCCCGGCTCCATCGCCCTGACCATCCAGCGCGTCAACATGGACGACTTCGGGGTCCACGTCTGTTCAGTGGGGAAACGACACGAGTTCAGCGACTCCAGCATCGAGCTGCTCAGGACGACAGGTGAGTCGGACAGGTGAGAGGGGGTGGGGCCTAATGTCACGTGAGCTGACAGGACACGTTTCTGTCTTTAGGGTCAGTGACGTCAGAGCCAAAGAACAGAGGAGGTCACTCAGGTGTGTTTAGACACACACACACACACACACACACACACACACACACACACACACACACACACACACACACACACACAGAGACACAAATACACAGACACACACACACAGAGAGACACACAAAGACACACACAGACACACACACATACACACACAGAGACAGACACACAGAGACACACACACACACACACACACACACACACACACACACACACAGAGACACACACACACACACACACACACACACACACACACACACACACACACACACACACAGAGACACACACACACACACACAGAGACACACACACTGACTCATTGCCTCAGGTAAAGTAGATTTTTTAATTACACTTAATGGTTTTTCAGTTTATTTGTTTTTACCAGTGAAATAAAATTCTCCAATTTTCCTGCTTTGATTACAGAATTTAAAAAAGTT